AACATGCGGAAGCGGACTTGTAGCATGTACATGTGGATGAAGGTGATTTGGGCCCAATTCGAAAAAGTTGGCTTGAGTCCGAGGGCTGTGCAGAATGTATTAGCGAGAGGCTTGGGTATCCTCATTGTGAGTACTTACTGTCATACCACCACCCTTCGGCCTCGCCCAGGTGTACACCGTTCTCGTCGACGGGTATCTCGCCCCGCTTTAGCAGGGCTTGGGGTATCTTGTATTCACCGGGCTTTGTGCATTCCTTGATGAGGTCTCGTGTTGCGCCATATGCGACGTACGTCTCGGTCATCAGCGGTGCCTTTTCGCGCAGCTTCTGGGCGAGGCCAGTCACGCCTGACGCAACAGCGGGATGCGGCTTCTTGATCGCTTCGGGCCTGACATCTGCTGACAGCGATTGCGAGGCATGGTAGGCGGTGGGTGAGGTGGTGGAGATTGTTCGACGTGCTTGGCGCAGAGACGCTCGATTCGTTCGCTACGAGAGTCAATTATCCGCTCTGGGGAAGGGATCGTGGCTGTGTACCTGGAGCAGCGAGGTAGAGGACCTCAATAGGGCCTTGGAGCAGGCTGTGCAGGTGTAGCTGGACGACATGGCTGGCCGTGTTGGTTGGGACGGGCGTGGGCTGCTAGAGGGTCAAAAAGTCCAGAAGTCGCGAGTCGCGCCCTCCATCGATGACGGCACGACCCCGGCGCCGCCAACACCACCAATGAGCATCACCACAAAGCGCCTCGTCATCGCGCAAGACACCTGCAAACACCACGGCAGGCCTGACAGACGGAGATTTGACGGCGATCACGCGAGTATTGCTTGTCGAAGCGTCGAGGCTGAGCCACCGGTGCTGATACGCGGGTCTTTAGGCCCATAGGGCGTCCAGGACAATCAAACCCGGGTTTGAATACCAAGATGGAACTTCGGCTCCAACTCGTGACACCCTAGGGCTTGGTATGGCAGGTCCCGAGGAACAGGGGCGGCACCGAAGCGACATCGCCGTCGATACTTGACCCCGTGGGCAGCCTTATACAATGCCATTGTTTTCCATAACTTCAATCATTCTCCTATTCTTATCATACAGTCGTCCATCGTCCATTAGCTGATCATGGTATTAGCAATAGCTGCGAGCGGCAGCCGAACTAATCGCAGAGACAATCCCGTCTACATCGAAGTGCTCAATCCGCCACCGACCTACACAAGCGGGGACTGCGTACAAGGCCAGCTAATCGTGGTGCCCACATCACAACCTAAACGCATAAGCATAAGTCTAAAAGGCTTCTCTGCTGTTGAAGATGCCCATGGAAGAAGCGTGCACCTCGAATTCTATGGACTTTCGCAATTCCTCTACATACACGAAATCGCAGCCGATGATTTCCACCTCCGCGCCAACAACGCGAGAGATCCCGCCAGAGTTGAGCTACCTTTTTCCTTCACATTCGGAAACCATGCTACGATACCGCCTCCCGCTGGTAAGAAGTATCGCTGTACAAACTGCACGTGAGACATGTACTGACTTCGTACACCTACGTTTAGGTAGAGTATGGCTTCATCCAGGGGACCAATGGAACCACCCCCGATTCCAGCATTCTCCTGGATTCCCTTTATCTCCAACGCTCAACGGGCCCACACCCACAAGTCCACGGGTCGTATATCACCTAGAAGCGTACATGGAGTCCGACCTACCCGGCACACCACCAGTGCGTGTCCGACAAGAAATCACCTACATGCCACCAGCACCCCCCTACGACCGCTCCCTCCTGCAACCCGACCTAAACTTCGGCACCAAACTACCCAAACACTGCAGCGCAGCGAAGCTAATCCGGACACGCAAACTCCTCCCCAACTACGGCGAAAACTCCAGCAAACTCGGCCGCTTCAAAGACAAACTCGCCGACAAAGAACTCCTCTTCGGCATCGAGTCCTTTGCAGAAATCCCTTACGCCCAATTCAACGTCCTCGCCACTCCACCCAGCATTCTAGTGATCGGTTCCCCCCTCCCAGCCATCGTAACAGTGCAACACACCAAACGCTCAGAATCACTGCCCTCACCACCCGATCTCTTCATCCGACGTTTAAAAGTGCAGCTAAACGCAAAAATCAACGTCTTCCTCCCCAACGAAGCCTTCTTCAAACACCCCAGCAGAGTAACCAACCACACCGACCGCCGCACCATCGTCCTCTGCGACCACAAATACGAAACAGGTGACGGCGAGCCCCTCTACGACGGCCTCAACCTGCTCGACGTGGCGAACATCGAACTTACAAAAGACTACAACAATAATACCATCGCGCCGAGCTTCACTAGCTACGGCCTGAATCTAGAATACGAACTCCAGATCGAGATCACAGGGAGATGTGCGGATAGAGAGTGGTCTGGTATCGCGTGTACGCAGCCTGTGCAGGTGGTTACGGAGTGGCAGGCTGCACCATCGATTGAAAGTGCGGGTTTGTTGGAGGCTGGGCCGGGGCCGCTGGCGTATCATGAGCTGGATGCTGCGCCGAGGTTGTATGAGATGGCTGTTCATACCGAGGAACCGCCGCCTTATCATGATGAGCCGCCGCCGTATAATAGGATGCTTGGTAGAACTGATGTGGGGGGTCCGGTGGGGGCTGTTTGAGCGGATTAATGTGTTCGTTTTGCGTGTTCTGGTTTTTTCATGGACTTGGAGCGGGGTAAGACATGTGGGGAGGAAGTTTTGTTGATGGGTTTGTGTAAGAAGATGGAATGTTACGCCCAGATCTGTTTGAACGATGGGAAACAGAAATATCAAGGAGAAATTGGTGACTTCGCTAGGGTTGTTGCGTTGTAAGATGAGGGCTTCGGTCTAACTTGTAGGCCAACTTCACCGTGTCTTGTCCTGGATGCGGTAGAAAACGATTGCAGAGCATGAGTATGGCGGACATCCCTTCGAAGCCGTGGTTCGATTAGGCCGTGGTCACATTAAACATCTGTACTAGACGCTTTGCGCAACCCGTGCCACATGCCCACCTCCACTCCGCCTCACCATCCTACTTCTCCCCCCTCGCCCTATTCCTCTCCCTCCTCCTTTCCCGCTCCGCCTTCCTCGCCTGATTAAAACTAGGCGTAAGCCCCTCCTCATCAATCTTCGCCTTCACCAAACTCTTCTCATCCACCTCGTCCAACAGAAAGCGTCCCATATTGCCTTGCCTCCACTTCTGAATCATCCACAACGACGTCGCTTCCGTGTCTATGACCCCGCCCTTGCCCAATCTACCAGTCTTCTTCGCGATCTCAGTAAGGAGCTCGATGATGTCGTTGGTAGGCGACGCGTATTCGGAGTATAGCGACGGCGACTGGAGGTTCAGGTGGTAGAGGAGGTAATCCGCGAGCATAACAGGCGCAATGATGGTATCCTTGACGGAGCCGCAGAGCGCTAGTTTCATCATGGCTTCTGCGTCGGGGACGTATGGGATGAAGACACCGGGTGTGTCAAGCAGATATACACCTCCTCCAACACCCTGAAGCTTCTTCTTCGCCGCTGCCTCCGCTGCTTCCATGTCGTCTTCGCTCGGTATGATTTTTACGCCGCTGCTGCTCACTTTGCGCGTTACACCCGGTTGTGCGCCCGTGGCTGCGACTTTGCCTCGACCGATTCCTTGCGCGCGCAGGGCGTTGAGGAGCGTGGATTTACCCACGTTGGGCATGCCGACTACCATGACGCGGTGGCCGACTAGCTTCCACCTCTTTTGCGCATGTTCACGCAGGATGTCCAGGAGCTTGATCACGCTCTTCCGTCCGCTAATTTCGCCCTCTGCTTCTTTCCCGTTCCGCACGAACATTGTCGTAGTAGGGTGATGCCATTTCGCAATGACATCCTCATTCCGGTTGTCGCGCGAGCCACCGCCCAAATCCCTCTTCGTGTACACAATGACCCGTTCTTTTTCCTCCAGCGCATCTTCGAATAGAGGGTTGCGCGAGGTGAGTGGGACACGGTAGTCGCGGCATTCGATTACTAGGTCGATGGAGGACAGGAGCGATTTCATCTTTGCCAGGCCCGCTTTGTGGTGGCCCAGGAAGTAGGACCGCGGCAGCGACGGGATTTGCGGGAAGGCATGGCGGGGGATGAATGACATCGGTTACATTGGTGTGTTGGTGGAGGGGAAGATGTGGTGGAAGTGGAGGATGGAATTATTGTGGATGCGAGTCAGACGAAGGCTGCGTCTTGGCGAGCATGACTGGTGCGAATGTCGGCGTCTGGTCTCGCTATTGCCATTGCCATTGCTCGCCCACCTTCGCATCGCACCTCTAAATCCATCTATCTGCATCGGTCTTATCACCACATGGATTTCAACAGCGTCGCAACTTCTAACAGTATCCCTTGCAGCTCCAGATCGGCTCGTTCATATCTCAGAGCGAGGGATAACAGGCCCGTACGATGGAGATCCTAAAGCGCTACCCACCGAAGCAATAGAAAGTGCGCTCCTATGGAATCCTTGCCGTCTGCAGGTTCAATCCGTTTTCGATTTGCCTGTTCCTGAATCCTTCGAAAATCGACTCTGTGACTATAATGGCGTAGTCCCAGGTTGGAATATGCTGTCAGCATTGCTTCCCCGTCACGGGTATTCCGCGGAATACCCGCGAAATGCTTGGCACTCACCCGTAGACATACCTCATGCGACCAACCATCTTCCTCCCCAGTCTAGAGAATATGGTTCTTGATTTCTTGTCACTATTCTCTGATTGCGATTGCCTACCAGGATTTCAAGAACCGTCATGCCAGCTTCCGGTGAGAGAGAACGTTCCAATCGCAAAGGACAGTACTCCTGTAACTTCTGCCGGTCGCGCAAGATTCGCTGTGATCGACCACTGCCATGCACAAGTTGTAGGTCGCGAGGAAAGACGTGTCAATTCGATCCTACGCCAGCGGCACGCGAAGTTCAAGGCCCTCAGACACCAGTCTCGATCGGGGCTTCGCTCACACAGCAACAGCCATATGAGAGCGTTCATATACCTTTATCTTCGACCGGAAAACCTGGCATGTTGGCTGAGATGGTTGCACTCCAGATTCGTGTGCAGGAGCTTGAAGAACGTATCGCACAAGAGACTACCTTTCCTCTGCAGGCCGGCAATGACGACAGCGAAAGTGTTCGAACGACCTTCGTTTATGAAACCACTCGAGACGAAATCGAGACGACCAAACCTTCCGATATTCAAGAAACAAAAGACATGGTAAAACATCTCGAAGGCGTCTCCATGAGTCAGAGCTCTTTCGAACTGTCTACCACAAACCATGTTACCTTCAAGATCGGTCGGATCCGCACAATACCACCAAAACTGACTTACACAACGCAACTTGTTAGACTAACACTAGATATATGGCTCCCACTAAGGGAAGAAGCCACCATACTCCTCGACATCTACATCACCGAGCTCAACTACATTCAACACGTAACGCACACCCCCTCTCTACCAGCCGTCCTGGACGAAATTTACCGTCCGCTCGAAAGCGGTGAGCCTGTTCATCCCAGCAAAGTCGTTCTACTGCTAAGTATCATCGCTCATACAACGCATGTATGGAGTATGCCGGACGGACTGAACAGAGAACGTCCCCTATTCTTGTCCTCGACCCAAGCCCGCTCTCAGACATCCACTTGGATCAAGGCCACATATACTGTGCTTGATACTTTGCAAGAGGGGCCCTCACTAGCTCTGGAGGCTATACAAGGCATCATAATCTTGTCATACGTCTTATGCAACATAGAAGGTGTATCGCTACGATACCGCTCCTTGATAACAACTGGCTTATTGCTATGTCGGGAAATGGGTCTTCACCGGATCGACCACGAATCCAATGCCGATGCGGCCCAGACGCTCAAAGCAGAGGTTGGCCGTCGTGTGTGGTGGTACCTGACTGCAACGGATTGGTACGTCTCTTCTCGAGAACTCAATACATGAAAGCTACAAAGCAGACTGACCGCTCACCCCAGGCTCCTCGCAGCGCGCTACGGCGGACCCAGCGGCGGAATCTACCAAACCAACCCTCTCCACTTCCACGTAAACAAACCCCTAAACATCAACGACATCGACCTCCTCCCCACCGGCCCCCAACCCTCCCTCCCCCTCTCCCACCAAACAGACATGTCCTACTTCCTCCAACGCATCCGTCTCGCAGAAATCTCCCGCACCCTCGTCGACCAACTCACCTCGGACCCTTTCCAACGCTCCGCCCACCTCATGGCCATGGACCGCCAACTCGTACAACTAATGCACGAAACACCCGCTTTCTTCCTACTAGACTACTACGACAGTAAATTCTCATCGGAAAAGCCAAACCACGTCTTCATCCAAGCCTACTTCCTCAACACGCTCATCCACACTCAGCGCTGTAAATTGCATCTTACTACGCTGACACGTCCATCTGCGTCGATGGATACCCCAACAGCGCCTTCGTCGCGCACTGCGTGTCTGTACTCTGCCCGGCAGCTTATATACCTCGAGACGAAATTACTGCAGTCGCGGCACCTGTTTGCGAGACGGCCGCAACGGCCTCCGGCGGGGCTGTATAGTATTTTTATTGCTACTATCGCGTTACTGATGGATGCTTGTGTCAATAGGTCGGGTGAGGTACATGCTGAGCTGCAAGAAGACAGTGATTTAGCGAAAGGGTTGCGTATGATTGCTGATGCGAGGGATGATTCGCTTGCGGCGGCGAAGTTGTATGAGTCGCTCATACAGATTGTGGTGAAGTATCGGGATGCTGGAGATACGGGAGAGAAGTACGGAAGTAGTGTGCGTGGCCAGAGTGCCGTGGAGTCTTTGCAAGATTTGCCCCCGGATGGATTGAGGGAGCAACAGCATTCTTCTCATGTGAATGATGCGATGCAGCTGGATTTGGTGGATTGGGATGATTTGTTCTCGAGTGTTTCTTCCTCGCCGTTCTTTTAGTTTGGATTGAAATGTACTGGAAGAAGTCTGGTGGGAATATCACCGATGTGTTATATATGCATTTAAGAAATAATTTGAAGGCAACAGCAAAGAACCAGAGCAATGTTTCCCATGTACTACACCGTAAGCTACCAGTAGTTGAAACGCAAAATAAAGATGGACGCACATCAAGCGGCGTTGAGCATGAACAGGAAACAGGTATCGCACGAGAAGGGAACAAGAGCAGTGTGGTGGCCTCGGGCCCAACAATCATACTTCAACTAACGAAACAACACTAAACAATACAAACAGAATCATGCTTCAACGTCATCTCCAGCCCCGTGCAGTCCTTCTCCTTTCCTCTGATAACTCAGAGATCGCGCAGCTGCTGGCGCTTTGAGTAGAAGGTGGTGTAGGGCGTGGGCGCAGATCTTCCGACGACAGTGACCGTGTCGCAGGGTGGCTCGGGGGAGACGGTGACCGTATCGCAAGGTGGCTCGGGGTCGACGAAGACGGTTGTGGTTGTGATGGAAACAGGTGCGGGGGTGGTGGTGCAGGGTGGCTCAGGGTCGACGTAGACGGTTTTGATGGAGTAGGGTTCGGTCGTGCAAGGTGGCTCGGGGGCGGCGATTATGGTTGTGGTGACGGCTGCAGGAGGAAACTGATGAGTGACGGTGACCATGGCAGGAGCCGAGATGGTGGTGATAGTAACCACGGGTTGAGAGCCAATGACCGTGACGACGGACGGAGGAGCGACGGTGACGATAGACGGAGGAGCGACGGTGACGATAGCCGGAGGATAAACCGTGGAGGTGCTGAAGATCACAGAGACAGTAGAGTAAGGGAGTACGACAGTCTTCGTCTCTGGAGTGGCGTCGATGTACTGCACTTGCTGCTTCGGAGTGCACTTCTTCATGTCTTCCTTGGGTTTTTGGATTCGGACTTCTGACCCCTTCGATCCACGCTCCTCCCATTCAGCATCTGCGCACATCTCTGTGCCAGGATACCACGGGTGGGTGAATCTGACAGCCCTGTGGAATGAGCGGCGTTCTAGATCGGCTTCCTTCTGGCCGAGCGTAATGGTCTGCATTGGCTGAATTGGGTTGCCGCCGATGACCGTTGTAATCGCATGCCCAGCGGTTACTGTAACGACTGACACGCTGGTGGTCGCTGCACCCTGGGTTACCGTGACATCTGGAGTATGTGTGACGGTGACGGTTTCGTTGGGATCAGGTGCCGGGCCCTCGCATGAGACGGGGTTGTTCGGTCCAGAGCGGCACTCGAACTTCCACAGATTGTCATGAGCCTTGGCGTAGCATTCGTAGCAAATGACCGCCTGAGACCAAGGGTGCTTCATCCATACACCAATCCGAGGGCCCTTCCACTTGCTCCTGCGGCGTGGCTCCAGAGCATGGGCCTCGGACTGAGGGTCGGAGCGACGCTCGCGCGGGTAGTGGCTGTCTTCGACATAGGCGGTTACGGTATGGGGCCGAGAGCTAGGAAGCACGGTTCCGTAATGCATCGGGGTGATAGTCTCTATGGAGGTCGGCATGATGAAGGGTCTTAGCGGGATGATCTCCGTGGGGTTCGGGATGATAGTCTCGGTGGAGGTGGGGACGGTCCTCTTCGTGGAATACAAAGTCTTGGTGGAAGTCGTCAAGACAGTCGAGACGTAGTTGGTAAAAGAGCTGCCAGCGTGCTTCCATGTTGTGAGATAGCCGACAATCCCAACCTCGGTGACCACGGTGGAAGTTGTGATCGGTTGCTGAATGATATAGGTGCTATTCGGTTGCGGAAGTACGGTGGTGACGGTGATCGTTGGTGGATATACGGTGACGGTATCCTTCGCTTGCTCAATTACCGTAATGGTGGTTTTGGCCGGTTGTTCAATGACCGTAATGGTGGTTGAGGCCGGTTGTTCAACTACCGTAATGTAGGAAGTTGAGATCGGCTGCGGAGCTACGGTAACGATGGTGGGTGGTGTCACCACGACGGTAGTCGTAAAGTTCTCTGACTTCAGGTCTCGACATCCAAACATTATGGAGAGAAACTGTTCGTCTGGTGACAAGCACTGATCGATGGCCCCGGGGAGTTCTTCGACAATTGATGGGTAGCCTGAGCAGCCGTGATGCTTGTATGTGGCGACCCAGCACTCTTGCTGTCCGAGGTTGATCTGGTTGAGCCACTCCTGGTGCTTGTTTGTGGAAGGCCTCATGCTGTTGGCGCCGCTGACAATGTCGTGACACTTGTTAACCTTGAGGTCCTCGTTGCCGCCGATAGTTGGTCCATTGCAGTCGTCGCTGGTGAAGAGGTACGTGCGTATTTCGCTCTTGATCTTGGCCTGGGCGAGGGGAGATAGGAGTGCGAGGACTGCACTCGCGACGACGAGGGTGGAGCGAGGCATGGTCGAGGAGCTCTGCTTTGCGTTAATGAAGGTTCATACTGTGTCGGAAATAAGAGGAAAGAGGAAGATGAGGAGACATACCGGCAGTAGTGTTCAACCGCAGCTCAGTTCGACGATGACGGCTCAGATCGATAAGAAGGATCGACTAAGTGCATTAGCACTTGTTGATGTAGAGCAAGACGAGGCGACCCACTCAAACAAAAGGCAGGATAGGAGTTCGACTGAGGCTGTAGTTCAAAGGTATGATGTGACCCTGTAATGTGTCAGTACACATGCCTGGAGCAGCATCGGATGGGAGAGGAAGTCGAAGGGGTCGCAGTGCCGGCATGGTGCGAACCAAGGGTGAGGAGGAAAAGCAATAGAGGGACGTACCAACTGAGTAGAAAAGCGGTGCAAGAGAAGCAACTGTCCAACGGTACTGTTGCTGTTGAGTGGTTGGGTGAAGAAGAAACGGAGAGACGGGAGAGGAAGTGGGATTATAAGGGTCTCGAAGACGCGCTAGAGCCAGATCTCGGGCTTCGTCACCGAGGTGTAGTTGAAGAAGGTAGCTTCCGTGGGTTGCGGAAGGAAGATGATCCATCTCGTGTGGTGGCTGCGCTTTGCGTGGTGGGATGACGAAGTCGTGGCGCTTGCGAACGGTTGAGCTGGGCAGGAAGTTAGCAAGGAAGGCAGTCGCGCCAAATGCTGCAGCAAAACAGGTCAGAGTACTGGACTAATGGGGCAGCAACAAGCTCATGGTTGTCATCACAATCGTCGAGCTTCTCAGACGTCTCCTTCTCCAGTTCCCCAGATGTGTGCAAGCGAAAGGCTTGATCATCTCATTGAGCGGAAAAGGCATCGATGACTTTGAGCGCTCTTCCGTGTCCATGCAGTGGCGTGACAGTCAGATCTAGCTGAGAAAGGTGGCTAGGTGAGATGAGATCGCGACGCAGGAAGGCATAAAAGTGGTGAGAGTGGCTGTTGGGAAGGTACGGTTTCCACGGCGATTATAGGAAGGAGCGAACCAAATACGCTTGACACGATCCCTAGAGATGGTAAGCTTGATTGAATCAGATGGGAAACGAATATAGCGCAAAAGCGTACCTGAGACCTGTGATGTTTACCATGTTGGAATCCATCGATACAAGTGAAGCCACATACAAAGAGTAAAGACGAAGCAACCTTCACAAACCGATAACAATACTTCCCATTCTTTGTCTAACCAACAACCAACCATACCAACCCACACCCGCGTATCCAACGCCCAAACGCCTCATCCCCCCCTCAAACCCTCTCTCACCACTCCCCCCACTCATCATCCTTCTTCGCCCCTCCACCTCCACCACCACCCATCCCCCCACCAGCACCCCCCTTCTTCATAGCACTCGTCCCAATGCCACTCGGCTTCTTCCCTGCCATGCCCCCAACTCCACCACCACCAGCCCTAGCTTCCCCCGCACTCCCAAACTCATCCCAAAAGTCCTGTTTGTCCTTCGCCGGCCCCGCTGGCGCCGCACCAAAGCTCTCCCAAAAGTCTTTACGTTCAGGTTCGCGCTGACCAGACAACGGAGCCCGCGAAGAAGAGGAAGAAGAAGAAGGGTGTGCAGAGTCACCTCCTTCGACGAAGCGGGAGAACTGTGTGTTTGCGTTTGCGACGCCGGATTGGAGGGTTTGGCCAAGGGTGCCGGCTGTGGTGCGGGCTTGGGTTGCGAGGTCTGCTTCTGCGAGCTGGAGCATGATGTGTTAGACGTTTGTTTGTGGTTCACGGGGTTCTTGGGGGGAGGGGAGATGTACCTTTGCCATACCGGGTTTCACCCAGCCTTCATACCCCGTTTTGCCTACTTTACTCACGCTTGCGCCTAGCCAGCCAAAGCCCTTGGTAAGCGCTGCAACAGGATCTTTCTGGAAGTCGTCCAGCGCAGGAGGCGCACCAGGCTCATCGTCCTTCTTCCAGGCATCTGGCTCGCTGCCAAAGCCGCCGTATTTTCCGCCTTGATTCGGCGCAACGCCATCGGGTCTGTTGGCGTTCTCCTGGCCCATCTTGGCGAAGTAGGCTTCGTTCTTCACTTTCTGACTAGACATGGCGTTGGTCCCGAGAGCAGGGGAGCCGGACCGCTGAAACCCTGCGTCGTTGCTTCGTGTCTTTCCGAGGGGTGTCTGGCTTCGGCTTCCGGCTGCGCTGGCGCGTCCGCTCAAGGGCGCGCCCATGCCGGCTGTAGATGCATTGTCCTTCTTGGGTAACCGCTTGGGTAGGTTTGCCTTGTCGAACTCTCTGTCCTCGACCTTACAGCTGAGTCTCTCCTTCCACTCGTCGCCCGCTTCCGAGTCGTATCGCTCTGATATAGATGAGGCCTCGAATGTACGTCCGTCTTTCGTATTCGAAGGATGTGTGTTGAAGAAGTCTTGGAAGGGCTTGTTGCCGCCGGCAGCCATGCGCACGAGTTCCGAGCCCTTGAAGGCGTCCATGGTGATACTGCGGATGAAGGAGATGTGCACACCCAGACCGCGGTGTACGCCCGAGCAGGAGAGGCACATGAAGATACCGAGCTTGGGCGAGGCCTAGGACAATTCATCTTAGTAGGTGTAGTCGGTGATCGCGTGCGCAGGTGGAGGAAGGGCGGTTGCATACCCATTGCGGACTCGGCGCATTGCAGTCGACGCACTTGTTGTTGTCGTTGGTCTTTTGTATCTCGAGCAACTGCGTACGGAATTGATTAGCCTCTGCTATATGCGCATGCTCGACTCATCACCTGTGCTGCCTTTACGCCGCAATTGACCCCTAACGTCCCCCTCCTTCAGCCGTAGAAGGCGCAACGTACCTTACTCCGCGTCTCCGGATCTACCTCCCACATTTTACTCATGATGGGCAACCGAGAAACTGTGCGATTGTAGTGGAATAGAAGTTGAGGTCTGGTCCCAGGCTGGGGGAACGTGGACGGGGTCGGTGTTGCGGTCGAGATTCAGGGTACGTGGGCCTAAGAACGCGTGGCGCGTGTGCAGTTGAGCCTCACAGGGATCTGCGTGATTTGGGTATCCACGCAGTCAAGGGGACCACGTCTGATGCTGTCGCTTTTGTCGCAACATGATCTTCATATTTTGCTCTTCTGATATGGCTAACAATACATCATGAATATGCCGAACATGATGGCCTCATATAATCGTGGAATGGATTACTTCGGTGACATTCTTGTAACGCATGCTGAGCAGCATGTACGCAGAAAGAGAATCAATAGTCTGTATGGAAGAAGCAAAAACAAAGCTATCTTGGCATTAGTGAGGGGCGCAATAAGTCTGCACTCGACTACACTTTTTAACCTCAACCAACTCCGCGTTGCTGGCTGAATACAAAAATAGCGATATATCCTCTCAGTCCCCAAAACCCACATCCCTTACTCAAACTTCCACTTCACCGATCCACCGATCCACCGATCCATCAATCCATCATCGCCATCACATCAACCCATACCCCTCTTGGCGGCCCCCTCGCTGCAAGATACTAATCTCATCCTCGATATCCTGCCTCGTCAACGGGCGACCTCCGCCAGGTTGAGGACCCAAGGCTGGCGGCGCATCGTCATCATTGTCGTCATCGTTGTCAGACTCTTCCTCCGTAGTTTCCTCCGTAGTTGAACTCGTCATCCTCATCCTCATCCTCCTCCTCACTGTCATACTGATCTTCCGGGTTGAAATGAGGCATACCAGGCAACTTGAACATGCGCTCCTGAGCCATCATCGTTTTCATCTTTTCCTCGATTTCTTGTAGGGTCAGGTTGCTGGCGCTGGGTAGGGGTTCCATGGCTGGCGGCGGATCGTCGTCGTTGTCGTTGTCCAAGTTGTTTTCATCTTGCTCGGCATCGCTATCGTTCGACCCTTCTTCTTCATCTTCATCATCCTCTTCCTCATTCTCCTCATCCCCGGCCTCCGGTCTATAACCAGGCATACCAGGCAAATTCAAGATCAGTCCCTGACCCATCATGATCCTCATCTCATTCTCGATATCCTGCATGGTAAGCGGGCGGCCGGGGCCAAATTGAGTGTTTGAGCCTTCTTCTCCATCATCTCCATCCTCCTCATTATCGTCGTTTGTTGGCTGCATACCAGGCATACCCGGCATTCGCCCCTGAGCCGCAAGAATCCCCATTTCCTCCATGATATCTTGCATATTCAGTGGTCGGCCACCAGCACTGGGATTAGGAGTTTCGTCGTTGTCATCTTCATCTTCCCAGTCGTCCCCATCACTGTCTTCCCTGTCCCCATTGTCATCATCCCCATCCTCATCCCCATCTACCTCTTCCTCATCATCATCTCCCCCTTCCTCTTCCTCATCACTATCCCATACATCGCCATTCAGCTCATCCCCCCTATACGAGCTCCCAAAGCGTGCCACCCACGGGTTCTCCCTCTCACCCTCAAAGTCCTCCAGAAGATGCACCCAGACATAGTCTTCTTCAATCTTGCTCGAAGCACCAACGCGCGTTTTAGTGTACCAACGTTCAGAGTCGCCTACAGTATCATGTTCCGACACAATCTTTACCCCTACCTGCGCAAACGCAGACTGGAGGGCAGCGATGCGGGTCTGGCATGGGAAGGTGCCTAGTTGCGGGTGCCAGCCAAAGAACGTAATGATTTCGAGATCAGGGAGGAGAGTTTTTATAGCAGAGCCCAGGGTGAGCAAGACATCGAAGCAGGTTTCCGTCACGTCGTGATAACCCGTCTTGGTTGAGATGCGCAGGTTCTTGAGGTGCTTGGGCAGGTTCCCGAGGTTTCGTTGTAGCGACTCGGCGAGGAATTCCTTGGTAACAGCACGACAATGAAGTTTTTCGTAGAAGATGGGCGTGGACATTTGGAAAGTCTCCACGTTTTCCAAGCCGCGCAGTTGTTCAAGCGCGCCTGGGTTCATCACTAGACGCTCGTCGTTGATGGCCATGTTGTTGAGGGACGCACAGTGGTTTCCGATGGCTTCGAAGAGCGTTTGTACGTCTCTGTTGTGCTTCTTGACCGAACCCCCGCCGCCGCTGAAC